TCTACTTTTTTTAAAGAGTGTTATTGATAATTATTATATTGCTCATCTGTGATGAGATTTCAAGATCAAGTCAAAATGGGAAAACTAAAACAGGACAGTTGTAAAAAGCATTTTCCAAAGCTAAATGTAATTTTAAAATTCAGTTTTAAAAGCTGTCCTTTATTCTGTGTCTATTAAATTAAGCTTCTTAATAGGGCATTTTCTAACTTTTATATTCTTAGTTTTGTCAGTTACTAGAGAGTTTTGTTAAAATCTTCCAAGCTTGATAATTTCCTCTTTGTCAGTTTTATATATGTATGTACAAAGATACTTGGAGGCTATGTAGAGGTACATGGACATTTAGAATTATTTAAACAACTTGTAAATATACTTTTTATCATTTTTTAAATTTAATTTTTTCCATCACCATTTATCCCATCTATGCCCTCTTCCACCTCCCCCCACTCTCCTCCCTCCTGCAATCACCACGCTGTTGTCCATGTCCATGATTTTTTTTGTCTTTTCTTTTTGGTTCACCCTTCCCTCCAACGCTTCTCTACCAATCAGAGCTGTCTGCCTGCTCTTTATCTATGAGTCTGTCTCTATTTTGCTTGGTAGTTCAGTTTTTATAGTAAACCCCGCTTTTTAAAAATTTCAAACACTACTTTAGGTAGTCCATTTTGATTGATACTAAAACATATACACCAGCATTTTAGGTTAATATTTGTCTGTTACAACTTTTTCTGTCTTTTTACATCCAACCTTGTCTTCTTGATGTTTTCAAGTCCTGTTTCCCAGGTACGTGCCCTTGAACGGGAATTTAACCTGTGACCCTTCAGTGCGTGGGGCAACACGCTAACCATTGAGCCACACCTGCTAAGGCAAGAGTAGGGATTCTTGATTTAAGTTTAATGAGAGTATTAGGAGTTGCCAGAAATCTAAATCCTGTATTTCCCCTAGGTGCAATTAATTCATACTCACTAATGCACTGTTTGCAGTGGCTTCATGAAACAACCATGATAATGTGAATCCATTATACATCCTTCGAAAGTTACCTTAGTGGGTTTTTTTTTAATTAAATTTATTGGAGTGACATTAAAATTTTATAGGTTTCAAGTGTACAGTTCTATAGTATATCATGTGTATATTGCATTGTGTTCCCACCACCCAAATGCAAATCTTTTGTCACCATATATTTGACTCCCATTACCCTTTTCTACTCCACCCCCTCTTCCCTCTGGTAACCACCATAGTGTTATCTGTGCCTGAGTTTTTGTTTTTTGTTTTTGTTCATTTGTTGCTTTCAGTTTTTTATCCCCCTTTGTTTGAAAATTCTGCTCAATTTGATTTTTGTAAGTAACCTGAATTTTCACTATGGTTCCTTTAAAGTTATTTTAGTCTTTGGTATTCTGAGGTTTATATGATGTATTTAAGTGCGGATTTTTAAAAATTTATCTTTATTGTTGAAAGTATTAGAGATGTCCTCCCTTTTCCCCCCATTGACCACCTCCTCACTCCTGCCCCCTCCGAAGGCCTTCACTGCACTATTGTCTGGGTCCACGGGTTATGCATATATGCAAATAAGTTCTTTGGTTACTCTCTTCCGCCCCCGCCCCTTCCCTCTGAGATTCATCTGTCTGTTGCATGTTTCCATGTCTCTGGATCTATTTTGTTTGTCAGTTTATTTTGTTCATTAGATTCCACATGTAAGTGAGATCATGTGATATTTGTCTTTCTCTGTCTGGCTTATTTTGCTTAGCATAATAATTTCCAGGTCCCTCCATGTTGTCTCAAAGGGACAAAAAAGAGATCCTTTTTTTACAGGTGCATTGTATTCCATTGCATAAATGTACAGCAGCTTTTTTATTCGCTCATCTGATAGGCACTTGAGCTGTTTCCAGTGCGGATTTATTTTTATTCATCGTGCTTGGGATTTT